CTGTCACCTCAATGTTCAGTCGGCGATCCCCTGCGATAGCCTATGTACTCCCATCGTCCGACCACCAGTCCAGTTAAGTCATCTTTCACTTTGCCCTGACCTTTCCGTTCTTTTGCCTCGACTTGTTAAACAAGTGATTCGTTACTTCAGGTCCATGCTTATGCAAGACTATTTGCTCTGATTACACTTGCGGCACTGTCTGGCACTGTGCCCTGATACTTCCGCGAAAAGGAGACAGATTCACTGGGAAGTGGGTGTATCTCAAAAGGCAGCGCAAATCCACCTTATAGGATCTCACTTTTTTCAAATAGTCTGAGTCATGTACGAGGTGATGTTGACCAACGACGCGGTAAAGGTAGTGAAGTTCGACTGGGTTTTACTTGCTATTTACACTGTAGTTGGATCAAATCGGTTGATCAATTAGATTTTTTGAGAAAACGGCTGGCATCACGGCTTTACGCAGATATAATGGTGGTCAAAGGACGTTAGATTAACTTAAAGCGCACACCGTAATGCTGTGCGCCCTGATGGTTGTGAAAGTGGATTTATTCTGTACACAGGACAGATTGCCGTGGGTTGACGGTTCGCGTGAGAAGCGTTTAAGTGCCAGAGTGGGGATTGTTGTACACGCAGGTCTGGCGTGTGATTTATAGTGTCTGATAGTGTGTCTGAAGTACCGACATACAACAGAGACCGTCGCCTTCAATGGCCGCACTGCCCTCACAGATCTACTCGCCGCATGGGCCTAGTCGGTCACATGCGCATACACGATAGCGAAATTCACCACGATGCCGACACACACATTGCACATTCTGCACACCCATCACCAATTCCAGCCTCGGTCTTTCAGTCGGTGTGACGATCACCACCACTACGACAAACTCAATAACCCCGACCTATCTTGCCCTGAAGGCTACCGCACATGCATATCACGTCTAGCACTTGCGAATCCCGCGCACCGACACTGGTTAACCAGTGCCAACATATGTTTGCTGCACTCGTCTTCCCTATCCACACTACCCAGCAGATTCACACACCGCATGTGTCTAATAGGTCACATGCACCTCCATAAAAACCTGCGGAAGAATGCCATCGGCCGAACCGCATGTGGTCACGCCAACACTGTGTGCTATCAAAAACACCTCCAACTGTAAGGCTCCTTTCGCTTTCATTCAGCAGAGGGGAATTCTCCCCCATCACCGATGTTTTTCCGCATACAGGGGAGAAACACTTATGCAAAAAAGTAAATTATCACCATTTTGTTAGCAATTTTCTACTAATATGTTTCGGAGAGGTCCGTGGGAGTGGATGTGAAATCGCAGGCCTTAGTGCTCATCCAAGAATTATCCACTTAACCACAAGAGTTCGACCACCGATTTCGAC